ATGATCACCATTAAATTTGACACACGTCTCTAGAAAACAATTATTACTTTTTTTATTAAAAATTATTTAAATAAGTAACATTACCATTAAATAATGATAAATTTAAAATTTTCACAAAAATACAATGGTATTTTGAAAACATCATGTTTTTCTCATATTTATTTAGGTTAGTTTTAAAATGGCCGGAAAGTTAGAATATATCTTTTAAAACTTTAAGTTTATCAAAAAATGAAACCTAAAAATAAAATATATGAAGATATTATATATATATATATATATATATAGTAGAGAACAAGCAAGAGGGGCTATGTATAGGAAAAAGCCCAGGATAATTGGTTACCGGAGGGATATATATATATATATATAGAAAGTACTCGTGAGGTAAGGGCAAGTAAGAGGGACTATGTAGAGAAAAAGAGCCCGTGGAGAGGGATAGCGGGTTGATAGCGAGACCGGTAGGTACACTATCATTGTTTCGTACGTTTTCGTACGTATACATAACACAATCAGGATGGACCAATATTTCATTTCTTTTTTTTATGGTTGGTTTGTTTTTTTGGTTAACTGTGATCCACGATGAGGCATCACTTGTTTTTAACGGCAATCCCATACATCAATTTAACTTGTTATTATCTAATGTGATAGTTGAATCTAATATTATTCTTGTTGTTTGGTTCTGTACTGCCGATATAATCATATTACGATTTATGCCATGATTGATGAGCAAGACTACCATGTCCTTGCGTTTAAAGAAATTTTACTCTCTGAGTACAAATATGGCATGAAATTACTGTACATGACTTCCATCATTTCTTTGTAATAATTGCATATTGTTACTTCATTTTACACCATTTCTACATATCTACCCTTTTCGCTCTATTTTTCAAGCTAAATCCAAATTATTCACAATTTTTCTGGTACTTCAATTTTTGGCAAACCGTACTTACCCTGATCTTTGCTCCAATTTTTTGGACCAAAACCTATTTATTGTTGACTTTCCGGTCTACCGAATTTGCCAATCATGAAGTGAGAACGCATTACATATTCAAGTTCCAATTACACTAATCATATTAACTGATGAACCCATAGGCATTAACGTCTTTCAGATTAAATATACATTTTTTCGATGTTGCATGACGATTGGCAAGTCTTTTCATAGCCTTAACATCAACAACTTCAGATATGTTGCCATCTAGTGTGACTTATCAGTTATTTATTTTAACCAATTTTAAGAACTTAAGTGCACCTCCAAACCTTATCCGAAGTTTTGGTTTGAGTCTCGAAAACCTCTATGATGGCCTACAATTTATTTTGGTGTCTTATTACAAAATGTAAATCTTCAAAAATGATACAGATCAAACAAGTCTATAAAATGCCTGAAATCTTAAAAATAAATAGTCCAAATAATACATGAAAAGATACACTATTTTCATGAATTGAAACCCCTTTTTCTTCTCATGCCCATACATTTTGAGGTTAATATAATCAATTAAAAGACTTTTGTCAAAACAAAATTTTTCCACTTCAGCAGTAAAGTTTATTTAAAAGTAATTTACTGCTATATAGGCACGCAAAATTTCCATCCCTTTTTAACTTACTACTACCATGAAGCCCATTTTCTGAGGTGATCAACATGACCTACGTATGACCTCTTTCTCTCATCAAACCTCTTCAAAAACCACTAAAGAATGCTCATCTCACTGTAAAATCCCTCTTTAGAGTTGACTCTGAACCTGCTCCTGCTCTGACTTTAGCTTTTCTGTGCTGTGAAATTTCCTCCCAGCCTCAACAGCTTCCCTGTGTAAGTGATGGATATACTGTGAGCTTCGTTTAAATAGTTTTGGAGTTTAGAACATTGATTAGCATAGTGAAAGAATACCGATTTAAGACTTCACCTGAAGGCGTTTACAAGCTCCTTGTTTTCAGGATCCAGCCGAACCCCCTCATAAAATGCACTGGCAGCTTCATCAAATCTCTGAAAAGAGAGAGCGAGAGAGAGAGAGAGAGAGAGAGAGAGTATACATTTCTCAGCTTCATCCAATCTCTCGAAGAGTGTGAGTATACATTTCTCAGAGCCATAAAAGATCATGGTGATACAAAAATCAAGAAAAGAGACTGGCATATTCTTGCTCACCCAATGGGAAGGAAAAGATAGAAATAAAAAATGAGACACAAAGGAAAAAAATATAAACCTGCAACAACCGCAATGCCGCTCCTTCTCGATAACAAGCCTTTGGCCAGTCTGGTTTCGATTCTCTACAAGCCTTGGCATCCACTAGTGCTTGCTCAGCTTGCCCCAACCTGATCCAGCAAAGGCTTCTGTTGGATAGTAAAGCTGCGTTGCTTGGATCCAAGTCAATTGCCTACATTTTAATCACATAAAATTACATTCATTCCCAATTGATCTAAGAAGGGTGAATACCTTAAACTTTCCCTTAGCCCGTTCCAAGCGGTGGATTATGTTAGGTAGGCAGTCAATGTAAAACGTTGTCAAAACTTTCTATGATTCTACGTTATCTGATTATGTTAGTGTGTTCCCCATAAACGAGAAAAGATATGGTGACTTATGGCCTCACTGAGGGTACGACCCTTAATAGAACAGAATGGCAGATCAGAATTCATGTAGCCGTCCCCAAATAGGTGGGGAAAAGACTCTAATGATGAAGATGAAATTCCTTCATTCCCAATCAACCAAGATGTATTTATGACAAAAAATGATAACGGTAACAAACAAGGAGGAGCCCTATCAATGCATAATCTCCTTTTCTTTTCTTTTTTCTAAATCATCTTTTTGTTAAAAAAAGAGAAGAGAGGGAGTGAGAGAGAACAAGTACATCAAGTTAAAACCCTGAAATCAACAAACAGAATCAGTAAACTTGTGGGCTGCTAATCGTACCAGCCAAAAAGAAACTAGGAATTAGGGTGAACAATAAAGCACTCGCACGAATTCTTAAAGCAAATCACTCCACAAGAGCATATGGTTCAGGTTTACAGCCATAGAAGCAGGTTATATACATCGGCTGACCGACCTGTGTATAGGCATATACTGCCAGGAGATAATCCTTGTTCTTAAATGCATCTTCTCCTCTAGATTTTGCCTCCAAAGACTTCTTCTTGGCCTCAGGTGACACCTGTAAATACACAAACCATACTTTTAAGAGATAAAATAATGGGATTGGCTGTACATATAGCATATTGCATATCGATAATCAGATGGTTTATACCAGTGGTTTAAAAAACGGATTGGTGACCCGGATAGAACACCTCAAAAACCCACCCGAATCGGTGACTCGGCGATCCGGATCGAGAATCGGCCAAATCAGTCGGATTAAGCCTTAAAAAAAATTATTTAAATTCATTATAAATGTTGTTTTTCAAGAATCCAATAAGAAATAAGGGTACTACATTATCAATTTATTTTTTTTCATCAATTTGCGAATATTGAGATGTTCTTTCCCTGTTTGAAGATAAATTGTTTTTTGATAAGAAATGCTTGTTGTATTATCTTTTATTTTAATTTTTTCTTTTTATTTTTTTGATGATATTATTATTTTCTTTTTATTTTTTTTGAAAGATAAAAATAAGACGCTTTTTTTTTTCTTTTTTTTATGCCATTATTTTCTTCCTCTTTATTTTTTTTCATGACAATATTTTCTTCATTTATATTATTTTTTTTCCTTTTATTTTTTTGATGATATTATTTTTTGCCTTATATTTATTGAGAAGATAAAAATAGAACACTTTTTTTCCTTTTTTTTATGGCATTATTTTCTTCCACTTTATTTTTTTTTTATGACATTATTTTCTTTCTTGATATTATTTTTTGTGATATTATTTAAGACAAAAATAAAACACAAAAATAAAACACATTTTTTTTGTGACATTATTTGACAAAAGAAAAAGTATTTTTTATGATATTTGACAAAAAGAAAAAAGTTAACACCATGGAGGTTCAAACCTGAGACCTCCCGTATAGAAGTCCAATGTGATAACGAACTCCCCGCTGCACCACATTTAGCATATTCCGCTATAATAAATCAATATATTAATTTAACATCTCAATGTTGGGCATTGAGAATTGTCTCACATCAAAGAGAGGTGGGACAAACCTTGGGTATATAAACAATTGAACCATCAGCTCTTCTAAACAATATGCTGGGATGGGAACCACGTGCGGTGCACATAAGATTTTTGCACACGCGCGATGCACGCGAGATGTATTCACATATGCGAAACACGCAAGATGTATTCACACGAGCAGAGCATGGTGACCTCAGCCACAACATATATTGTGACGTCATACTGGCGAGAACCGCAGGTTTATGACATCATGAAGGCGGTTTACTGCTCAGAACCAACGATTCTACTCTAAAACTGGGCGATTCCCGGTTTTACACAAAAATCAGCACAGGGTCACCAATTCCCGTGCCAACTCGAGAGAGTCCGTTGCGACTCGCCGATTTTTAAACCACTGGTTTATACAGTATAGCCCACTTATTAGCACTACAAAGACAAAAAAATTGTTGTGTACTAACTTGTTCCGGCTGGTTTTTGACGCCTTATATCTTAGTTTGCTCTTGAAGAGACTTTCCAAATACTGAGTCTTGAGAGCGTATCATCTTCATTGGCATGGCAGGCATATTTTGGATTACGACTCCATACTGGACCCATGCGATAGCTCAAACCCAAATATAATCTGAGTAACGAGAGCCAACCTACACTCTTAACCTCGAAATCATATTCTTGATTAGGACTACCAGGGCCATGTGATAGTTCCAGCCCATATCTCATACCTCATATTCGTTTTGGGTCCCCATTTTTTAAAGAGTACATTGTCGAAAACCATGCCCATAGTTCCCGCATAGATTCATACCTACAGTACCCAAAGTGAATTCAAAGGGTTGATATACTTTACCCCTTAGAGGACAACATACATGCAAACTTTGAGAGAGAAAGCCAAAGGGTATGTTTGACAAATCATCCCGTCCTTTCCTGCAGTAGCGGGAAGTGCAAGACAGAACAATTGTTCCATCTCTTCCAGCAGTAGCAGGAAGGATAGAACCAAAATACTCTCTCTTCTAACAGTAGCAGGAAGGATAGAACTAAAATATTGCCTGGATCCCATCCAGTAGTAACTGGATAGGCAAAACCAAGACGTTTCCCTTAACGGATGATACTCTCAAAGATTGCGAGACGCCACATTTTTGCTCATCTTTCCCTTACTTCTCCTGGTGGTAGCTGGAAAGGTAAAGGCTGGTATATGTAATCCCTTTAACGACATGTGTGCCACTCTCACAAAGTTATCCTCAAGGAGAGTGATGCACCACCATTCATGCCCCTCATCATACAGT